CCATTTTTAGCAATGTAATAGTCTAGGTTAACCTTGTAACTCAATTTGAAATAATAAAAATGTATTATTTGTGAATTATTTGAATTATGTGATTTATGTGTGTATTTTCTTAATTTTTATAATTTAATGAATTAAGAATAAAATAAGCGTCAAAATTTAAGTGTGAGATAAGCCTAACATCTTTGCATAAAGTTGTAGTGGTCGAAACAAGGATTCCGGAGATATAAGGAATGCCAAAATCCGAGTTATAACGAAGAAGTTATGACCTGTCGAAGTTTCGCGACAGAACCGACACGACGCCGAGTGACGTAAAATATGAATTTAAGATAGAGCGATATTTAGCCTTAGCGATCTAAACGAAAGTCGTAGATTTCGTTAAACCGAGAGCGTGCATAAAAGGAACGCCCAAATCTGACTTCGTATGAGGAAGTTATGATTTTATGAAGTTTCGACTTAGCAGTATACAGCCCGAATACTCGATTTGAGATCGAGCGGTTTTTAGCCGAAACAATCTAAATGAGAATTGAAGATCTTGTTGTTAGTAGAGAAACGATGAAAAGTTAGGTGAGAACGGACGTCAGACGAAGAAGTTATGAATTTATAACGAAGTTTTTCTGTCCCGGCCTTCTAAAAATAAATAATAAAAATAAAAGTCAAAATTAGCCGACGGAGTCTAAATGAAAGTTGTAGAGTATGGTTTGACCTTCGCGTGGATATAAAGAACGTCGAAAACGGAGTTCGTATGAAGGAGATATGAATTTTTGAAGTTTTAATAAATATTTTATATTTATTTTAATTTAACTCCGATATTATCCGAAGAGAAGGAGAGGCGGTCTATCCGAAGTACGCAGCGCGTACTGCTGTACGCCCCGCGTACAACATAGGGCACTTGAGTTCTACGGAGTAGCGAGTCGTATGTAATGACGGAGATGGACCGATGACGTAAGCGCTAACGACCACCGAGGCGTACGCCCCGCGTAGCCTTGTACACCCCGCGTACGTGCGAGGGTTCAGCAACCTATAAAAGGAGGTCCGAAGCAGCTTCTTTTCTTTTACAAATTTCATCATTCTCTCTGGTCCTTTGCCTCGATTTGCGTGCCAATCATATCCCGAAGCCCCGGTATCATTCCCGAGCCCCGAAGCGAGATCCGAAGCCCCGAGGATCCCGAAGAGCGTTATTCCCGAGCCGAAACGCTGCCCGCGAGGAGCCCGGTTTTGTGAAGATCTTCCAGATCTACGGAGAAACACCTCTTCTGCAAGCCGTAGTGCTGCCCGATCATCTTTTGATCAAGTGAGTGTGTAGTTATTTTCATTCCAACGCAATATTATGAAGTGTTTTCTATAAAATACGTGTTATGTGTATATATTTGGTTGTTATACGTGTGAGTGTATATTCACTCTCTTCTATCTTATAGATATGATGTATTCTCTATGAAATACGTGTTATATGTGTATGTCTCATCTGTTATGTGGAATATGTGTTGATTAAAACATGTTATACAGGTTTTTAAACAATGTATAAAAATGTATATTTTTATCTACTAATATGTTGGGTAGAACATGGGCAGGTAATTGGTGTGTAATAAACAGATGAGAGGCCTCGGTGTTATTGGTGTTATTATAGTCATTCAGCAGAGTATGGATGACGACCACGGACTATTCTAGACTGTCCTGTGGAACACTAGCAGGCTCATTACCTGTAGGTGTTGTGAACGACGTGTTCACTGGTGTACTCTATCCCCCACATGGTTGCCTTTAGGATACTTATTGTTGAGGAAGCCCCTCTGCAGTAATGTCCATCCCGATGAAAAATCCTGAAATAGGTTCCTTATAATAGACGTTATTTTTAGGAACGTAAGGTGAGGATAACGGGAATGGGTAATCGGGTTTATTGTTGATTGTTGAAATTAAATATAATTATTGTGGGTTGAAAACCCTATATGCTCACCAGGCTCCCAAGCCTGACCCACTCAGTTGATTTATTTTATAGGAAGTGGCGCAAGAGCTTAAGATGGGCGAACATCAAGTTGTTTTGTTTACAAGTCTGTATATGTATATATTTGTTGAATGACTTGTAATGCTATCGTTTATGCTTTATGATCTGTATCGGAACATGACATCCCGTCTTTTGATTATGAAATGAAATCATATTTCTTTATGAAATGTTTTGATAAATATCTATTTTATCATGTTTTGTTTTTGGGAACAAATTCCGCATCTCTTTTAAAATTAAAAGGATTTACTCTGAAAATTATTTTAAAAAGCATAAATGAAATCGGTCTTTTCTGGCCGAGATTTTGGGGATGTCACATTTTATTTGTATGAGCCTTATTTCACTCTAGATTTTTGTTTTTTTACAAGAGAGAGAAAAATGAGAGTTTATCTCGTATGTGAGATATCTTCACTATAATTAGATCTAATGATCATATGAATGTAGAAATATTTCATTGATTGCTTGTTTATCTGAGATTGATTCATCTACTGTTCTTATTTTCCGCATTGTTATCTCATATTGTGTGAATTTGGATTCTTACGGGTGATAATACACCTTCAAGCATTACATAAATGTTCTATATTGGAATGGATTAAAAAGAAGGGTTAACAATTTGTAAGGGTAACCAACTTTTATAATTTTATATATTTAATCTCTAAACTTTTTTTGTATGTGATCTTTCATTCAACTTGTTAAAAAAATACTATGACCATCAAAACTTAGTATACACGTCCATAATTGTATTTATTTATTTATTTATTGAATAATTTAAGCAAATTGAATGACATATCACATACAAAAAATGACTTGGCACAGAGCGTTAGGGAGCTTATAACGTTTGATAAAACGTTCCGTTTTAAACAAAAAGTCTCATTAGACGCTACAAGTTTAACCACTTATCTTTTATATTCGTAATCTTTGGGCATTAAACTATTCTTTGTGATTTGTGGTCCTTTAACTCTTTTCTTGTTACACAAACTTTCTTTACATCTTAGTCGCAAATCAAGTTATATCAACCTTGTATGTTATTAGAAAACGAATCAAAATATAAAAAAAAAATCCCAAAAAAGTATGTAACAAATTTGAACCAAAATAGATATTTTATATGGTTTTTTTTATATGAAGATTTTGGTTGTAGCTCCCTAGTTTTAATGTTTATGGTCCATGAACACAATGACACGTAGAAATTTACAACATAAATGACACAAAAAATACTTAACATATACTAACAGTTGCATATATATATATATATATATATATTATATATATATATATATATATATATATATATATATATATATATTTGATCGCATCTTAATACAAAAAAATAGATATTTTTTTTTTTTTACATATTTTAACATTTCGAAACTAAAATCAAATAGTGGTTCGAACCCTAGAAGAAGCTCTAGGTCCACTACTGGCTCAATACGGTTAATGTTCAGACAAAAATATGTTGGCGACCTCATGGACAACATGACCTAATAATGATAAATTATTTGTTTAAATGCATCCACGAAGCCTACCATGGAAATTATGCTAAGGGGATTGGTAACATTTCTAGCATCTTATCACGTCAACGTTTTGAGTGACACCTCATTTTTCTCCATTTAACATCTAATCTTAACATTTGCTAGGGAGTGGTAACACTCCTAACATTCCTTTTTTTTTTTTTTTTTTTTTTTTTTTTTTTTTTCTTTCCTAATTTAATTAAATTATTTTATTTTAATACACAAACATATATGCACAAATATTAATCAAAATTTATTTTTTTAAGCAACCAACAATTAATATAGTATAAATCAATTAAGTATAATATTTAAATGTCGGGTGGGTTCTTTTAAATCAATTTTTGATGCTTGGGACCATATTTGCAGGGAATTATCAAATGAGGGTTAAAACAAGTTAATTGGAATCAAAGTTTTGAGTATAGGATTATATTTGTAAACAAATTTCTAGTGAGTGTAGGAATCATTTATTTGGAAATGAAGTTTTGGACGGAAAAATGGCTTGCTGATTTAAAAAAGCATACACATGACATAAAACAATTGAAAACCAATGAGCTCCATACACATGTTTAGAAAACAACCGAGAACCAATGAGCTGCAACCTTTTCTTTATATCTCCATTCGTTAAGGGGTTAGTGATTTAGAATTAGCGAGTCTTTGTAACGAGTTGCTAGGGGCGGTGTTTAACATTGCTAACGAGGCTAGCGAACTCGGTGGTGACCCCCACTCCTCCTAGCCTTAGAGAAACATTGGTCTTCTTTGGAAAGGATTGATCATGGATATTCCATAAAGTTTAAAATACAAATGTACAAAGCTAATAAAATACTACAAATTCTAAAAATAGTGCTTATGTGGGTTAAAAATTCTTTGATATCAGTCATACGAGACATCGTATATTATTTTTGTTGGAAAGAGGGGAGGATTTACATAAATAGTATATACAACTTTTTAATGGTTAAGGCTTCAGGGTGTCGTAAGGGAATTACCACCAGCATGTTGATTTGGCAAGCATTACTGAACACCACCCCAACCCCACTATGTTTGTTTCATCGGTTGTAATATGTTGTTGGTAAGCTTCCACTAAACCGTTCAAACCTACTATTTTTACCTCATTTTTTGTCGGTGGTAATGCCAAGCACCACACCATTATCCTTTTTAAAAATTGCAAAAATTATGAAAATGTCACTATCAATCTAGATCGGTAAAAAATTTGTAACACCGTTTAGTCTAAAAATACTTATTCCTTGCATCATCGATTGAAAAACAATTCTAAAATGCCACCCCTCTTGGTTACTAATTAGTATAGTAATTACTTCGTTTTCCGGTTTATTGATTTTCAAACCGGTTATCTTTCATAGTTCACAGACTAGTATGATTTTTTATTTTTACTTTAGATATTGGAAATTTTAAATTACAATATTCAATGATTTAAAGTAGATATCGACCCAAATTAGATTAGGTATGGATTTTTTTTTTTTTTTTTATGATATTTGCCGTTTATACTAAAATAGAAAAGTGGGTCTTGTGAGAAAGCCCAAGCCCAGTGTTTAGGGTTACGGGATGATTGAAGTAACCTCGTGATAAGGGAAATTCTCGTGTTGTTGAAACTCGAAACCATCTCATCTATTATTTTGTTTTTCCGCCAAAACCCTTTTATTCAATTCAATCGTCGATACTTTTGAAGTGAAGTTAAACATGCATCATCAACTCTTCCTATAAAGTAGCTTCAGGCGTGAAATTTGTCGATTAGGCCGTCGTTAAAGTATCATATTTCTCCGGCAAGGTTCTCCGACTCCGAGGTGGCTTCTCCTTCTTCAGTTTGCTATCTTTTTGAGTTTTCTGAAACTTAATTTTACAAATGATTTTATCTTCTAAGCTTTCTTATCATTTAGGTTTATTGATGAATATTATTATCATAATGTCTGCCTACAGAGATGATGGCATATTAAGAATAAATGTTACTAGTTTCATAAGCTTTCAGCCTTTGAATTTCGACTTTAAAGGACCTTGGAGTTCGTTAGGCTTAAATGAATAACGACTGAGTTCTAGATTGATAAGTTTAATTGTTGGGTTTCAGCATAGTTTATTCATTGCTGCTACTATAGATGTATTGTTAATGCTCGCAAATTGTGTTTAGGTGGTGATAAGATAAGATATCTACTTGTGTTGTGGCAATGTCTTCCTCTACGTTTTCTACACATGGCGCCACACTAGCTCCTGAACAAAGGAAGACCTTTGGTGATTCAAATAACTCAGATGTCTTCCATAACAAGAAGAACCATGTATCGATGAGCTGTCCTAACAATGGAAGGCTGATATCCAAGGATAGAATCCAATGTAAAGCAGTAGAGGTCAAAAGCCACCACACTTTCTTGAAGGGAGAAAAATTTCAACTTGAAGATGTGATTGAGGCACAGCAATTTGATAGAGATACCCTGAGTGCCATATTTGAAGTGGCACGTGAAATGGAAACAATTGAGAAGAAGTCACAATCACATGGAAGTCAGCTTTTGAGTGGTTATCTAATGGCTACTCTCTTTTACGAGCCTTCAACAAGAACCAGGCTTTCGTTTGAGTCAGCAATGAAGCGCTTAGGTGGCGAAGTTTTAACAACAGAAAACGCACGTGAATTCTCTTCTGCTGCAAAGGGAGAAACACTTGAAGGTAGTGCATTCTTTCATCTTCTGTCTCTCATTCTGAATTTAATTTAGTTTGTTTGATTCAGATTCTATTAGAACTGTGGAAGGGTATTCGGATATTATTGTGATGAGGCATTTTGAAAGCGGTGCTGCCAGAAGAGCAGCCATGACAGCTAACATTCCTGTTATCAATGCTGGGGATGGTCCAGGTCAGCATCCTACTCAGGCTCTTCTTGATGTGTACACCATTGAAAGAGAGATAGGAAAGCTGGATGGAATCAAAGTCGCACTTGTTGGTGATCTTGCAAATGGGCGAACAGTTCGCTCTCTTGCATATCTTTTAGCCAAATACAATGATGTCAAGATCTACTTTGTCTCACCAGAAGTCGTAAAGATGAAGGTATGCAATTATTATTATTATTATTATTATTATATGTTATATGTATCAGAAAAGAAGGTGTGAATGTCTTGATGGATTTATTTAGGAGGACATCAAAGAGTACTTAACATTAAAGGGAGTTGAATGGGAAGAAAGTGCAGATTTGAAGGAAGTGGCATCGAAATGTGATGTGGTGTATCAGACTCGCATCCAGAAGGAACGTTTTGGAGAGAGAAGAGATCTTTATGAGGAAGCTCGTGGGAAATACATTACTGATAGAGATGTGTTGGGTGTCATGCAGAAACATGCCATTGTCATGCATCCTCTCCCAAGGCTTGATGAGGTACAAATTCTTATCAAATTTGTTTTTAGTTTTCTATATAATACAATATACTTAACTAGTTTTGTTTGTGAATTGTATACACTCTCTATTAGATAACAGTGGATGTAGATGGGGACCCAAGGGCTGCTTATTTTAGACAAGCTAAAAATGGACTCTACATTAGAATGGCTTTGCTCAAGCTCTTACTTGTTGGTTGGTAAATGGTCAATGGTCAATGGTCAATGGTCTTGGTTTGAAAGGGAGAGTCGTTTTGCTTTCTGTCTGGTCTCGTCAAAACTGCAACAAATTTCATTTCCATGTGTTAGTTAGATTAGATATATCACCTAAAGATTGCGACTTTTTAGGTAATAATTTAAGCTTATGGATTTATGGGAATTCTTCTTGCTCTCCTGTTTAATGGTGATTTATTATGGACATTGATTACTAATAAATGTCCGTACTATTTTACTTCAATCTTCATGTTCTCAATGGTTTATACTTTAGGATTGATATTAAAGCAGACTTATTTTCATCAAGTATCGGACATGGTGTTATCTCTTCAAAGAGGGAAATCGTTATCATCACCTTCTCCAAGAGTACACAATCCGTGAATGTACGACAAACAGTTAAAAGACCTGACATCATAAAATATTCGTTTTCAAAATAATGCTTGTTAATGATATCAAATAAGAATTAAAACTGTTCCTGAAGCAATTTGGAGCATGAAGTCAAAATCAAGGACAAACTTCAACTGATATGCATATAATCTCACATCATAGATAATGCTATCTTAGGGGATATTACAACTTCTAAATCTAAACTAATTAATCTAATCGTGTATTATATAACGACTCTCATCCAACATTGAGTTCCACCAACTTAAGATCTCAAATATGTCATTTCATCGGCCAAATAAATCTCCACCTCCTGTCTTATTAACCCATGCCCAAAATGTTACAAACAAGTTATAATGCCGTCTGCCAAATTAAGTTTCGAGTTAGAGTCGATATAAAAAAAAAATAAGGAAATAATTAGAAGATGATGTATCTTTTGTCTTTTGAGAATTTTATTTCTCTAATTTGTGTTTAAAGTGTTTAAACAAAGTCTTCTAATGTTCTAATAACACTTGGATGTTGTAAAAAACTTTGTAACATTTAAAAAATAGTCCTCCAAGTAGTCTATAAAAATACTTATTGAAACAATCAAACAAACAAAAAACATATAACCTATTTGTCTGAAATCTCAACAACTCCATCATACCTCTCATAATGGGCCATATTTTTTTTTTGTTCATGTTTGGTGTGTTACAAAAGATGGAATTGAAATTCTTATGTTTGTGAATGTTATTGCCTGGCTCTCTACTAACAACAGCAGATTGTGGATCCATTTACTTACAAAACATGGAAAAAGAGATCAAATTCATGCATGTTCTTAAAAAAATGAAATCTAGAGCAATGTACTTAACTCTTTTTACATAGGAAACAAACGTACATTGTATACTGAAAATGGCAGAGTACTTATATTTTTTCATATTATCATATATCATGATCCCAAAAGAAAACAAAATTTTGCATCCCTGATTCCGTTCGCTAACGAATTCAAACAGCAACATACTTGCATTTTGCTCGCAACGTAGGCAATGTACTTTAGCACTCCCTCCTCTTTGTATCTCTTTTGCAGCCATAAGGATAAAATTGTATACCAGATATGTAGCTTTTGCTTTAATTTTATAAAACCATGGATTTCTGCCTGCTTGCCTTGCTTCATTCCAAAAAAAATCATTTTAAACAAATATATAGCTACAATATAAGTCCAATATCTGTAAAAAAAGTGAGTTTCACCATCCTGTTTAAGGTCAGATATTTTAGTAACGATATCATGGAGTAAAAACAGAAGTCACCTACATTAGCAAACTCACACATCCACGGGTCAGGGATTTTTTTTTTTTTTTTTTTGCATTATTTTGCTTAGCAGATAAAAACATATTATGGTTTGCAAACTAAAACCGCAATAGCAACATAAAAGTTCCTTTAAGTCTACTATTTTAAAAATAAATATACTAAATACACAACATTTTAAAGCTTAACAATTGAAAGTACAATGCTATTTATGAAATTGGAAATCAAAATTTAATTAACACATAATAATATATGCCATTTTTGAAATCATATACAAAGTTAAAAGATATAAATATTATATAAAGGAAAACAACAAACCTAGCTACAGGGATGAGTTTTGGAACCGGAACTGCATTGACGGAGCTTATATAGGGCACCCCCCCCCCCCCCCCCCCTATTCTTTTTAATATTTAGTCCATAACTATTAAAACAGTTGCATATTATACCCAAAACTATAAAATTTGACTTTGGCTCCCCTTGCTCTTTAATTTTTATACATATTCTATTTTCGGCCCCCCTCAATCAAAACTTCAAGCTCCGTCACTACGGAACTGGAACCGATATTGCGATATCATAAGAACCCGGAACCGGACTGACGTTTCTGGTTCTACTCCCGAGTTTTTGGTTATTTTTCCAAACAAGAACCAATAATAAATAAGGTGAAACTAATGATGATGTAATTCATAATACATACATGTAGTTTAGTTGGCGTCCAAAAAACAAAAGACAATTAAACTTTCATATTAAAAATATGAAAAAGTGCTACATTAATATGTTGTCTTTCCGGCTTTGTATCAGATTCATTATTTAACTAAAATATGAATTTTTACATTCTAAAATGAAGTACAAATACTAAATTACATGTTTGAAAAAAAATCAAGTAATATCAACTTCATATAAGTGAGTTACAATATTTTAAAAATCGGGACAAATTAAAAAAACATGCTGAAAAGAAAAAAAATGTGGCATTGATATGTTGTCTTTCGGGGCTTGAATATGATTCAATATTTAATCAAAATATGATTTTTTTTTACTATCTAAAATGAAGTACAAACACTAAATTACATGTTGGAAAAAAAATCAAGTAATTCCGACTTCATATGATTGTGTTATAGTATTTTAAAAAGCGAGACAAAATAAATAAATAAATAAATAAATAAAACATGCTGAAAAGAAAAAAACACAACATTGATATGATGTCTTTCAGGGCTTGTATATGATTCAATATTTTATCAAAATATAATTTTTTTACATTCTAAAATAAAATACAAACACTAAATTACATGTTAGAAAAAAATTATATAATTCTGACTCCATATGAATGGGTTACAGTATTTTAAAAACCGGGATAAAATTAAAAAATGATGAAACAAAAAAAAAACACAACATTGATATGTTGTCTTTCACGGCTTGTATATGATTCAATATTTAATAAAAATATGTTTTTTATAGTCTAAAATGAAGTACAAACATTAAATTAAATGTTGGCAAAAAATCAAGTAATTCCGATGTCATATGAGTGAGTTACATTATTTTGAAAACTGTAACAAAAAACATGTTAAAAAAAATGCATCATCGATATGTTGTCTTCCAGGGCTTATATATGATTCAATATTTAACCAAAATATGATTTTTTTTACAGTCTAAAGGGAAGAAAAAAAAAAAATTACATGTTGGAAAACAAATCAAGTAATTCTGATTTCATACGAGTGACTTATGGTATTTTAAAAACAGGGACAAAATAAAAAAACATGCTGGAAAAAAAAAACGCAACATTGATATGTTGTCTTTCGGGGTTTGTATATGATTTAAATTTAACCAAAATATGATTTGTTATGGTCTAAAATGAAATACAAATACTAAATTACATGTTGGAAAAAACAATCAAGTAAGTTCGACTTCATATTAATGAGTTATGGTATTTTAAAAACCTGGAAAGAATAAAAAAAACATGTTGAAACATAAAAAAAAACACAACATTTATATGTTGTCTTCCGGGCTTGTATATGATTCAATATTTAACAAAAATATGTTTTTATAGTCTAAAATGAAGTAAACACACTAAATTAAATTCTGGAAAAAAAATCAAATAATTCCGACTTCATATGAGTGAGTTACGGAATTTTAAAATCCGGTTCCAGCTTTTTAACCGGTTTTTTGTGGAACTGAACTGATTTTCGAACCGGGACCGGTTTTGCTATAAGTAGAGAACTACTAACCAAATTGTTTTATTAAATCCGGTTCCGGTTTGGTTTCGGGCCGGTTCCGATGATTCTGATGCTCTTCCTTACTTAGTTGAAAAGAGCATGATTGAAACATTTCAAATATACGGTCCAAAAATTTCATTTTAAAATATAAATAAAAACTATAATTATCATGCATCATATAAAATCATAATTCACGTATCTCAAAAATATCATAAACAACTGTCCATATGTCAAAATCATGTGACAAAACATCAGAGTAAATCATCCCAGGCTAAAAGTTGTGGTGTGTGCCATGCAGTCATCCCGAGCTCTTCCCCTGGTTAGCGGAAGTACCTGAAATGGAAACTGAAAACTGTAAGCACGAAGCTTAGTGAGTCTCCCCAAACTACCCCATACCATACACATAACATATAACTTGCAGCTAGGAATTACGGGCCTCGCCCACACTCAAGGAGATATGGGCCCTCGCCCACACTTGGCTAACTATGAGATATGAGCCTCGCTCACACTCAACTATCTCTGTAACAACCCAAATTTTCAAAATAAAAATTTTCATTTTTTATTATCCAAATATTTCCATAAAGTATTAAGTAACATTAACCACTATTTCAAAATCCATAACATTAACATTTTATTCAAACCATCAGAGTGTCCCTATCAGAACAAATATCGGAGAGTGCATGCAGCGCCATCAAGCTTTGCCCTTGCCCTTAGGATCATATGTACTTGAAACAAATCAACAAATTATAAGTTAATACTTAGTGAGTTCCTCAGAGAATACTACACACATCTCCACATAACACATATCATATTAGCTATAGAGCTACATTTATCACAAAAGCCATGCATATCAACATATAAGGATGTTGTGGAAACCTTCCAAGGTCTTACACCAAGTGCCACTGGAACCCCCACGCGGTCTTTACTAGCCGCCACTAGAACACTTAAGTGGTCTTGGCTAATTGTCGCGGGAACCTACACACGATCTTCACTAAACATAGGAATATCATACGAGCCAAACAAATATACATACTAGATAGCCGTGGAAACCCTCGAAGGACTTATACTAAATGCCATGGGAACCTCCTCATGGTCTTAAATATATTGCCCAAGAACCTCGCGAGGACTTTCATACATATGTCCTATCGACATATCACATAACCAACTATCAATCCATGTAACATTAAATGGGCCGACCTTGGTGTCTTCGACTCATTGGTATGGTGAGAAGACTCACCTCTATCTGCTGAATCCAAAAGTTGCTCCCCTAGCAGTCCGTAATCACCTATGTTGAACAACCATATTCTTACTCAAGGTTAGGGCTAAGCAATATCCAATGGAAAACCCCAAACCCAAGTCCTTTCATGATAGCCCAAAGAGTCTTCCTTTGTTAACGGGCCCTAGTCCATATCCAAAATCATTAATGGGCCTTATGGCCTAGTAAGGCCCAACCAAGATATCCATGGCCCAAAACAGATCAACTAGCCTACTAAATCCAAAACGTGATCAGGCCCAATGACTAATTAGGGGCCAAAAGCATGTAAGCCCAAAATAAGTCCAAG